GGGGGGCTCAGCCGCTAGGTGCAGTGGCCGGCTGCCGCCTGTCGGATGTATTACCCAGGCGTCAACATTATTACCCGAGGTAATTCAGCTGGCACCCACACCGACACACTCACACACGGACACAAGCGCATACGAACACATACGCCAGTTGCGCAACAACGTAAAACGTGCGACTGTTATGAGCTCGTTTACAGACACACCTCAGTTATTTATCGCGCGGCTAGCTGGCCAGTTGCGGGGCGGAGGGGGGCAAGCGGCAAGGGCCGGGCCCCTCACCGGGACCTTGACTGGGAGCAGCGGTGATGTAAGGGGCGGTGGCGGTGTGACAGGTACCTTCCCCGCCTCTGGGCTGTGACTTAGTTCAAACCTATGCACGTCTATGCGCCTGCCGCACATGGTCTGGCTGCGGTCGCTATCAGTCGTAAAAGAGTATATATGCGTAACAGCTATGTCACGAGCGTTCTTTTGTGCTGGCACGTTCTGCTCTGATTCTAGGTCTACGGAAAAAGCAATTGAACTCGGCTCTGGCACCTTTTAGCAAACACCGTCAGTTGTCTACCTATTTGTGTTTTAGAAATAAAATTCGATGCCTGGCTTAGAATTTTACAATTCAATTGAATTAAGCCCGTCGTTATGAACTAGTGATAGACAAGCGTCGTTACGTATAGTTTTCTGTATGGTACTAGTATTTCTAGATGATAATTGTATACAGGTTATATCAGGTTATCTTATCTTATCGATGATGCTGTATACCGTCGGGACAGCTGTGATTTAGATGCTAAGCAGCTAAAATGTTGTGTTTTGTGTTTTTTTTTCGTGTTCCACACACGTAGCCGCTGTGAAGTTCGTCCCGCAATTTCTTCCTGTGTAACATGCCACAAATGTATATGCAGAGACAGTTAAAAGTACAACTTTAGCCAGCGAGGCTGGTCTAGGACGGGGGTTTGACACATGGATCTGACTGTTAGTGGACACTCCACAGCTCCACCGCTGCCTGGTTCAGATGTTTCCAGCTTTGCCATCGCCTAACGAGTCTGGACACTCGGCGGCCGAGTTTCCGACTCGCGTTTTCGCAATAACGACGCAAGCCTTTGACATTTTCAAAAGGCAGTGTACACGACGAAAGGGCGAAAGGGACTTGAAGGTAATCGTCGGCCTGCCCCGCCCCGCCCCGCCACGCAACTGCACGCAACGGCACGACCGGGTCCACTCCAAGAGAGGAGCAGCGCCCGCGTTGAGGTCTCCCGCCGTGATGGTTTAAGCGACGGGTCAGAGCAAGAGGGAGAGAGAGCGTAGGGGAAGGGAAGAAAGAAAGGAAGAGAACATAAAATGGGCACACACTGGAAATGCAAGTGTGTGAATGTCGCTCACCTGCAGGTGAGCGACATTCCATTCGTACACTTACGGGGGTAAGGGTGTGAATTTTTCCTGGAAATTTCACACGTTTACCCCCCTAAGTGTACGAATGGAATGTCGCTCACCTGCAGGTGAGCGACATTCACACACTTGCATTTCCAGTGCAGGACGAGTGGGATAAAGTTTGCCTTTTTATTGGTTTATAAATCGCTTAGGCTGGTAAAGCAGAAGGAACGAAGAATGTTAGATTCCTGCAAAGCAATGCTTTGCACAACTGCGAAGTATTTAGTTCCTTTGTACCTACGAAGCATTTACGTTGCAATTACAAAGTGATGCTTTGCGCAAGTACAAAGTAGTGACGCTTTGCGATTGCATTGCCTCGCATTTACAAAGCATCACTTTGTAATTGCAGAGTAAATTCTTCGTAGTTACAAAGGACCTAAACACTTCGCAGTATTGAAAAGCATTGCTTTGTAGAAATTTAACAGTGAAAGGAAAGAGCAGAGAAATTAAACTTCTTTGTATCCTCAGAACAGGTAACAGGTGACATGTCGGTGGCCGTTCAGCCGGCATTTCCCATGTCACGCACGCGGGTGCGACTACTCTGGCTGGAGGGGAGAGGGGAGGGGGGTATATCCCCCCTCCCTCCCGCGGGGCAGTTGCGTCCGGGTCGAGAGTATCGAGACGCGTGACTGTTTTTATCATCATAAACGTTATTGTTCTCGGGCATTTGCTGTGGTCGCGGCCGGCCAAGGCCCCGCAGCGAGGCGCTCTGACCGCCTGACCTAGTGGCGCTGCTCCGGCGAGGCTCCGCGGCTGCCGGACAGGTTATGCCCCCCACCTGTTGTGTGCTGCTGGTGATCGCTTAAGATTGAGGCTCGTCGCTGACTCAGCAATTCCGCAATCGATGCGTTGCGCAGTTTGGCGGGAAGCCCCACCCCACCTCTGCTCCGCGTGGACCGCGGCGGCGGCTGGGCGCAGCTGAGGCGCGGCTGCCGTGGCGTCCGACGTGGCCGGTCCTTTCATGGTTCGTCAGTCGTTTATCGTTCTATTTTTTGTTGTTGTGGCCGCTGACCACTTTTACTTTTCAAAACCGCCTGGTTTAGAGAAAAAGTGGCGGTGCTGGTACTAAAAGTATCATCCTGACTGTGCTGAAGAGGCCCACCCGTCTCTTACGCACGGCGGAGCCTGGAAGGCCCTCACGGCAGTGCAGCAGCACCCTACAGCCACACGCAAACACACGCCGGTGACGTGCGAGTCGGCCCAGTGTCCCCTTTAGCGCCTGTCAGTGGTGAGGTAGGCCGTACCGCAGCACACCGGTGACGTGCGGGTCGGCCTAGTATTCCCCTTAGCGCCTGCCAGTGGTGAGGTAGGCAGTACCGCAGTACACCGATGTCGTGCGGGTCGGCCCAGTGTCTCCTTAGCGCCTGCCAATGGTGAGGTAGGCCGTACCGCAGCACACCGGTGACGTGCGGGTCGGCCCAGTGTCTCCTTAGCGCCTGCCAATGGTGAGGTAGGCCGTACCGCAGCACACCGGTGACGTGCGGGTCGGCCTAGTGTCCCCTTAGCGCCTGTCAGTTAAGGGAAGTGAGCGCCGCCGTCCGTGGCAGCACGGCCAGACAACTTGACCGGTTCTTACTGTTTTTCCTTGTGGTTGTCCGCTGTCCTGTTGCTCGTAGTGGATATCTTCGGTGTCCCCAGGGTGGGTCGGGTCAGCGCGATCAGTTCTGTAACAAAATAAAACTAGTAATCGACCCAACTCAACGTTTGCTTTACCTCGCATCACTTTTTAGCCCGGAATCGTAACTGAATAATACGACAGCGTGGTCGGAAAATTTGAAATGTTATTATTGTAGTGTTGTATTGTCGCGGTTCTGCTCCCGTCTATTTTTTTCCCCGAAAGAGCTCGTGCCGTATGCCACGTGGGTCCACCGAATGACAAGGTGGGGCGCGTGGCATAGGCTTGACGGTCCTGACGGTGCATCCGCCCCTCGCGCTGTGTCCGCTGTGTTGTGTCACAGCCACACATTGTCAACGCGGACGGTACGGGACGGGACCTCCGCGGCCTTGGAGAAGAAAGTTGGCGGCGGACTGTGAGTCGGACAACGCGCCCGGCGACCCGTGTTCTTTGATTTTCTTTGAAATTGTCCGGTATCGTAAACTTACAACATCCATGTAAATCACAAATAACAAATATATTTCAAATTTACATACTGTTTTTTCCGTAGGTTTGCAAGCTTGTCTTTTCAATTTTCTGAGTTTTTAGTTTCTCAACGTTTAATGCGGCTTTTTTTATAATGATATATTTAACCTGTCTCGGCTTTACTATTTCTTATTAACGTAGACGAGACGTGTTTGCAGTATCGACCACGGCGTGGTGAGGAAATAATTATGGTGTGAACTATCTCACCATCATAGAGGCGGGCTCGTGGCGGGGAGGCGGCGCTGTTTAATCTAGTTGTTTGGTCTGGCGGTCGGGCTGGGGAGTGAGTGTCCGTTGTTTAGGGGGAAAAAACCGCATCAAAGAAAGAAAGACACTTTTGACACCGTAGGATGCAAATTATAGCGGCACACTGTAAAGTGCTTCTAAACTATATATTCTTTGCCAGATTGCAAAGAATTTGCGAGCTTTGTATTACAAAGAGTTCGTTCGTATCGCAAAGAATTAAATTAGTTCATATTTCAAAGAATTAGTTCGGGGCATCATGGCATGCGATACATGTTACCCTTGTCTTCCCAGTGTTGCGAGACACTTCTCCATAGAGAATCAAGATCTTTATATGTAAATTACGGTATTTGTTGTATTTGTTGGAGAGAACATCGTCTTGCGTTGTTGATATTGTAATCCAACCTTCTCTGTGCCGTGCTGGTGCAACAGAGAGAAACAGACACTTCCAGTTCGTCCAGTGCACTATGGCTTCGCTACTAGCGGAATGTGACCGATCCGCTGACTTTTTCGTTTCAATTAAATTATTGTGACACGAGGAAGGCTCTTGAGAGGAGGGGTACGGTGCGCAGGGAGGAAGGCGACCTGGTGGGGGGAGGACCTGCAGCGAACGCGGATGTGGAGCGGGTCGACGCAACGCAGCAAGACATGTGGCGGGAAATTCAAATCGACGAGTGCCTCTGCCCCAGAGAGCGGCTGCCTTTATTACATTGTTCATTGCCCTGTGCCTCTGATTAACGAGCGTGCCAAACCCGTACAGGGGAGACCCAAAGAGCTAGATGGGGGAATTTAATTTCTAAACCTTTTTATTGCTGATCCGATCTCTTGCCCTTCAATTCTGGCGCACGTTTAAAATCAACTATGAAATTTGGTTTGCTGCCTGCTATTTGCTATTCTACTTTTTTTAGTGCATATTTTGACTTTTGTCCCTTTTGATGTATCATTATTACTGTTGTTCACTTGGAAACGCACAATTATGTTCGTGTTAGAAAAACGCTACAGTGTGTTGTTGTTTACTCAAGAATAAATAATCAAAACTCAAAACATTAACACTGCAAACCCAAACAGTGTACTTAGTACACACAAGGAAGAGTCGACTTGCACTTGCAAGCATACACCTACAAGTGTGTACTTCCTGTAGTACACACAAGGAGAAGTGTACTACACAGTTAGTTCACATAGGTTGTTCTTTTACGTTCGTTTTAAACCGCAAATTTTTCATGTTACAGTTAAACCGTCAGGCTATCCAATGATCTGAATATCCCAGCTCCAGCCCCGGCCCCAGCGCCGCTCGGTGCCGGCCGGGCTACAGCCGGTGGGCGAGGCGGTCCGGCTGCCACTCTGGCACAGAGTCTTGCTCCAACGGTCGGTTATTCTTTACGACTAGGTTCGGCCTACTGTCATTTGCCGCACTGTCCAGTCCACGTGGTGTCATTCTAAGTGGCAAGTGGCCTAGCCGGGTGCTTTCAGTGGGGAGGAGAGTTTGAACGGACTGACTGAGTCAGAGAGAGAGAGAGAGAGAGAGAGAGAGAGAGAGAGAGAGAGAGAGAGAGAGAGAGAGAGAGAGAGAGAGAGAGAGAGAGAGAGCGAGAGAGAGAGACGAGCCTGAGCCTTGGCTTGCCCCTTCTCTCACCTACTCGCCTGCACGCCGTCTTGGCTACGCTCCGACGCGGTTTCGTAAAAGGCGGTGTACTTTTGGATTCTTCAGCACGACGGCCAGCCTGTGTGGCACACATGTTTGGCCCTCGCCGCCGCTGACATTTTGTTCCGTGCCGTTGCATGGGGCGGCGTTCTGCCACACAGGTAACCCTCCATTTGGATGGGCGGATCATGGCTGGCGGCGTGGCGGGGCGTGGCGGGGCGTGGCGGGGCGTGGCGGGGCGTGGCGGGGCGTGGCGGGGCGTGGCGTGACCAGACGCCTTGGCACGCGCGCCGAGCACGTATAATGATTGTGTCGCTCCGGTGACTCGGATATCGCCGCCATGAGGTCGCGGAGGGAGGAGGTGCTAATGGGATTCGCATGCATTCCGCGCGCGTCGCGCTGTTCGACCAGAACAGCTGCTCGCGCGGAACCTCCTTCCTGCAAGTGCATTGCATTGTGTTGGTGCAAATGGGTCTTTTGACCTGTCGCGATACCGATGCAGCAGATCAAGCCGGCTAGCTGAAATGCGACATTTTCATCCAATAACTTTTGCATTGGTTGATAGAGAGCAATACGCAAAACCACTCTAAAGGGTCGGTGATCCATGCCGTCATTTTAGCTGATGGTTAAAACGTTTCAAACAGCGCACATAATGTTTGTACTGCACCTGGCGGTAGGCAAGCCCGAAGCCCGCCCACCCACCTGAACCCGATAAAATAACCAACACAAAACGACAGCCCAGACCCTTTTGTTCCTAACATTCATTCGCCATCTGCTGATTCGTAACGTCCCGCATTTTAAAATTATAAACAAACGTATTACCATCTTTTTCTACAGGGATTATGGGATTATCACACTTTATCAGCAAATTGTTGTACTTGAGAATTTTGCCAGCGTTCAATTTCCGCTCGGCAGCAGCTGTTCGCGGAAGGGTCCTTTGTTTGTCAGCCGCACAGCCGGGCTAATTCCGGTCAAATGGTGAAAGACGAGGTTAGTGAGGCATGAGGCTGCCGCCGCCTTTGTTCAATGCAGCCGACCGTTATATCATGCGTGCGACAGAGAGAGGGAGAGAGGGGGAGGGGAGGGGGAGGAGGTTGGGAAGCTTGAGTGTTTGGTATTTACTAATTGTTTTCCCAATTTGACAATGTTTATCTTGCGATCATTCGGGTTAATTTGGGATTAGTTTAAGTTTATCAGACTAAATTCTGGGAACACGTATTAACCTTGTTTCATCTTTAAAACTGTCGATACGACGATACGTGGGCGATCCTCCCTTTCTTTCAAGCTAAAAGCAAGTGTTAAGGTGGAGTGTTTGAATACTATAGAACTGAGGAATTCCAGTAAAAACTCCGCAAGTACGAGACTCTTAATTTTGTCAAAGGTGTTAAACACATAAGAGATCTCGACAAGAGGGACACTGGTGCTCCAAACTTTTTTTTAGCGAGCTCTGCGACAGCGCCATACAACGCATTGTCTGGGTTTATTGCAGGGTGCAGGGGATTCTATAGTTCTACCTTTATTTTTCTGTGTCTCTCCTTTTTTTCCTGCTCTGACCTGGCATTCCCCTGATACGCCCGCCGCTGTGCGCCCTGGCCGCCGTGCCTCTCACCCGACACGCATATTTTTCATCCTTCTTTCTCCTCTGCCTTTCCTCCGGCTCCTCCGCCGTTTTGTGGCGTCTGCCCTCTCAATTAGCATGATTCCCACATAGTTGTGTAAGGCGGGCACCACCACTGGCGCCCCGT